ATTGTAAATTACCTAGTTACCATTGCAATTGTAAAACAAAAAGCATCAAAATAATGTTTTCATTATCATTATTATTATTGTTATCATTCTCTCTACAAAACTCTTTACATAAAAATCTATACATTACACATACAAGGGAGTATATGATTGCATTATTACCTCTAGAAAATTCAAATAGAAAGACATTTTTTACTTGAGAGAAAGTATTTTTAAACATGCCAAGATCTACGTACAGTAATATTATATATATATATTATATTCTTGCATATTAGACACCTTGAATGAATAACAATCTATGTGCTATATGACAAGTAGTGTTTTCCTTTATTCCTTTTCAAAGTCAAATAAAACAAAAATGTTATCGTTAAACCTAGAGAAAACCACTCAATCAAATTGAAATCTCATTCACAACTTTATAATATTTATGAAGATATTAATTTTGAACAAAACTACTAAGACAGCTTGAATAAGCAAAGGAAGCTTGGAATTCAAGTTGATAATATGTCAAATGTGAAGAAAGCAGCTGGATATTATTCTAAATATTTAGTAAAACATTTTATTATATAATTACCAATGAAATATCTATTTTTCTCTATTTCGAAAATTTGATATCTTCACACGTGATAACACCATTGCAATGGCTATTCAAAAATACACGGAAAGAATTGCCTGAAAAAGCCAAAACATACTTCATTGATAATTATATAATAAACAGAATATTACATGGGAGCTTGGAGATACGAAATTTATCTTCTCGTGTTAAAAATCTCTCACTCGTTCGCTGTGCTCACTTGTGAGAGATCTTTTCAACACTCGAAGATAAATTTCATATCTCCGCGCGCCCATGTAATATCCTCTATATCTCCTATACATGTATATTGTTAGGTCTGTTCAGTACTTAAAATACAAAATTCATTTGAAGAAAAAATGGAATAATTAGCTCAGCACTATTCATTCCTTGTCTGAGATATTATTTTATATCTGATAGTACACAAATAATATTATCATTCAGTACTTTACTATGCCTTAAAAGCTTAATACGGATAAATGCATGTTGTTTCCTGCTGCTGCGCAGGACCAAAACTACAGTATAAAATGAATTTAAAAACATGATAATAAAAAATACTCTATTCATTCCAATTGATACATATTGTCATGTATATTCATAATTTTGAAGAATTATCTTTTGTCTATTTTTCAAGTTACACACTTGCATATCATTTTGTTGTAAAATTCAATTTCAAGAACCTTTCAGTAAAATACAATAATAAGTATGAATATTGGATCAGTCTATATTTTTCTTCATATCCAAGTCCATACAACCCACATGACTTAAGTTATTTACCAGTTCTATATTCTACTAATTTATAAAACTCCTTAGTAATCCAGTAATATGATTTATTACGACAAAAGGGGACAAAGCATATTGGACATACAAACAATATAACTCCACAATAATATTTTAATTTTGTTTTTGATGAATTTTATTCGCCAAAATTTCTATTTGATTTCGAACTTGGCAAGAATGAAATTATTTTGGGAAAGGTTGTTTAGCTTTTTGTACAATAGTGTAAAATGTTTCCGTTCTTTAATGTTTTAATGACATAAAGTACTGAAAATATGTTGGCACCATTTCATATCTGTAGCACTCAGATTGAGTTAACAATTCCCTGACTTTGATTATCAGCCCAGCTGTTTCATACAGTAGTATTAAAATATTTGAAGAAATTTTTAAGGACCAAGTCTCGAATCTACATCCAAATAAACAAATGGTAAAATTTTATCTTAATTTTATCAAATGATCAATAGCTTCCTGCCAAGTCTAGACCTTAGGACAACATATATTCATTACTTAATTGGTTTTGTCCATTTATTTTTACACATGAAATGGCCATAGATTTATAATCTGTCATTCGTGACAAAAATAATCTAAATATTCTAAAATGTTCAATAATAAAATTATAGTATCTTTGAGGCTTTTGCATTCAGACATGATATAAAATGTAAGATTACGAATAGAACGTGGAGTAAAATTACACATAGCATGCATATTTAAAGTGTAAAAAGCTGTATGTATTTTGTTTAGCTTTCCCAACTATTAAGTCATACACACTGGCCATCCTTGGCGCTAAGAGCAATTTTAAGTGTTTTATTAGTCAGATTCTTATCTTATTGTCATTCCAATTCAACTCATGCTTTTTTTATGAGAAAATTTTTAAAAAAACAAAGAAATCCAAATGATAAAATATGGCTTTTAGCAAGATAATAGCTTTGAGGCTTTTGTGATGAACTAGATAGGGTCAAAATGGTTTTATGGTTAGACACACAAACACTTTTGTCACATTCTATTGTTTAAAGGGCCAGCAGCTGGTGGTGCAGTTATGTTGGTTTAAGCTTGTTAAATACTGCCAAGGATACTGCCAAGGGGGGGGGGGGGAGGGCAAAAAATTTAGACTTCTCTCGAAAATGTAAACCTTTGCTTTGACAAATATTTGTAAAATTTGAAAAGTTCTACCCCTACCCCTCCCCCCCAAAAAAAACTCCAACTTCCCCAACTCCTGCTGTCACTGACTGTACATGCAGAGTTTATATTTATCATTATCATATTATTAAAATGTGTTTCATCATAAGAGGGTTTTTTATTAGAGATTATTACAGTCCTGTATCTCTCTAATGGTGTCTTAATACAAGTTTTATTGGATAGTCTTTATTTTTTCTTACTCTGATTGGTCCATTTTTATTGATGGTTTCCAGCCACCACTAAGAGAATCATAGAGACATGGCAGCCGCTATTCTGATGGTATTAGCAGATGATGCAATTCACCTTTTCAGCGCTAGCCATCAAGGGGTATAAATTGTTTTAGATTGTGTTATGGTCACCAAAAAGTTCAGACATTGTTCTTGAATTTCCGTACAAATGTACTGACTCTAAATGAACTATTTACTTGGTTAATGTTTAGTTAGTTCTCTAAATACAAATAAATGATCATTTTTCTAGCTTGATTGAAGCTTTTCTTATTGCTGTTAAGATAGCTAACTAAAGAAAAAAATCTATCTAAATTCTCTCTTTAAACTCAGTGAATTTGTATGGGAATCCGAGAACGATGTCCGAATATTTTGGTGACCTTAAGACAATCCAAGCTAGTGCCGAAAAGGTGAATTAGTCTGTTTACTATTATTTTGTTCCCACTCATTCACTTCCATTTTTTATTGTATTTTTTTCAGAAAGCTCCTCCTGTGGTCAGTCATCCAGTTACCATCAACACACCAGTTCCTCAAACCACACATATAGCTCCGTCATCTATTGAATATTATTGTTCATTATGTAAGAAGATATTCAATTCACAAACACAAGCTGACCAACATTTTAGTGGCAAAGCCCACAGACATAAAATTTCAGAAGATGCTATTTCTAAAAGTTCTCCATATTCCTCTTCTACAAAAATGGGTAATGGTAGCACTCTCTCTCTTGATGGACAAACGGCTGGCTTTAAAAATGAAGCAGCTCAACCAAAACAGCCAGATATAAACCTTGGATCAAATGTGAAGTGTCAGCTATTTACCTGTGAAAATTGTCACATTACACTGAATTCTCCCAGACAATTTCAGCAGCATGTGAGTGGATTAAGACACAAGATTATTGTGGGTAAAGCCAAGCCTCCACCTCCTCCTCAAGCTGAAGAGCCAGGTAATCATTCCATTGATTGCTATCTTGTTACTCAGTATGGTGATTAGAACATTTATTCATTCAGTTCCAACGTTATGGAGCTCAATTCCTAAGGAAATTAGGATGGCAGAAATTACACTAAATCCAGACTTGAGACTTTTCTTTTTGAGAACTATTTTCTTTGAACATTTATCTAAGTGCTTTCATTTTTAATATTTCTTGCTGCCTTTTCAATTCTTATAAAGAAATTATAGAGGTTCCAAGCACCTTTTATTATTATTATTATTATTATTATCATAATATGATGGTGATGAGGTTGATGATGATGATGACAGTGGTGCATGGTGATTGTGATGTTGTGGGTGATAATGATGATGATGATGGTAGTGGTGCTGATGATGATAATGATGGTGATGATGATCATGATGGTGATGATGATGGTGTTGGTGATGATTGGTGATGATGATAATGATATTGATGGTGATGGTGATGATGATAATGATTGTGTTGGTGATGATGATGATGATGATGATGTGACTTTGTAGCTTGTCCGCTGCACTCAACAAATTCTCATTTCACTCAAATAATGACTATCACTGGAGACAAGAGAGGTCACCTTGGGGCAAGTCTAGAATCAACCCAAAAATTGTTTCAGGGTACATGATACAGTATCATCTGCAGTGATGGATCCGAGTTTTTAAAAAGGGGGGTTCCAAAATGGTAGCCAGGCAGAAACTGTTTGACTTTACAAAGAGGGGTTTCCATGGAACAACCCTTTGGATCTGCCACTGCTTTGATGTATTTCAAAGATTGCAAAGCTCTGTCACAATCGTACTGAAATGTTATTTTCTTTATAGGCTGGCAGGAAATACGATACAAGAAACTTACAACAGCAATGACGACTGTAGGAATTATGAAGAATCTGCAAAACACAGGGGCAAACATTAACACTGGTGGCACACAACTTGGTCAATATTACTGTAAGGACTGTGACATCAGCGTCAACTCACCATTACAACTGCAACAACACATGACTAGTGCAAAACACAAGGCAAGGCTTGATGGGATAGCTAAGGGTATTGCTTTACCGGCCAGGAAAAAAACCAAGGGGAGAGGAGGTAAGTTATTATTATCACTTGACCTTTACCCATCTCAAGTAAAAACTGATACACATAATCTGTCCAGCACTGAGGGAAACCAGTTGGTACTGAACAAGACCACAATCAATCAAATAAATTATGAGAATAATATAACAATGAATAATGGTAGTGTATGGCTCAAAATCGTGACTGCTGTCTCTATCAGCATCAAGCATTGAAAATGGTGGTAATAACCTTAAAAACTTTTTTTTCAATCCCTTGACTCGTAGGTGTCATTCCTGGTACCACAAAGCCTTTTATTCCTGGTAATATCAAAGCTGGAAATGCAGCTGGGCGTGGTAGGAGCACACCATCACTATCATCAAGTTTTGTTAAAGCTGGTAAAATCTCTACATTTTATACAACACAGACAGTCGAAGCTCCAGTCACAGTACAACCTTCATACAATACTGTGAAATCTAGTTTCCCTGTAAATGGTGCAATAGGTGATCACTATAATAGCTATTCTCAACACCAATATCAGATGCATTTACCTCCATATTCCTCACAGATGTATTAATGATCATAGACATACTAATTATCATTGCATTTTACTGAATTATGATCTAGTTGTTTTTTTTTGGTTTTATCTTTAAATTTCTTTTTTGGGCTTCCTGTTGCTTTTTGCAACAGGAAGCAATATTTAGGCACAGGTAGTCCACCAGTAGGAAAATACTAAAAAAGATAAAGATGAACATAGGAGGCAAAGGGGGCTAAAATGGCTTCTATTTGGCAACCATTGATTTTTATACCAGTCCTGAAAGTTACAATTATATAAAAAAACAACAGCGTTGTAACAGTTCATTCAATGTGCTGTAACAAAATCACGAGACCTAAGGCACAACATCATTGCATTGCATTTTGAAGGGGAAATGTACTGATTAGAAGTATCATACAGGTATAAAAGAAGTCTTGTGCCAATTAAAACCTTTGCTGTAAAAATGTACATTTGCAGAGTTTTCTTGTAATAAAATTAGTTATTCTGGTGTGGGATGTTATTGTTTTACTGTCAAAGGCAAAGAATATATTAGGGAGTAAAGTTTTATTCTCATGAGACTCATCATCATCATCAGTTTCCCCCTCATGGACTGATTCTAGTATACTCTGGGTGCTCCTGTCTAGCAGGAGAACCATGCCCGGCATTTGCCTCATTGTGACATGATGACATCATCATGCATCTGTTCTTTTAGGCATCTAGTAGCCCAAGCAGGTCCTCAAATCTCTCCACATCATTTTACTAGATTAAATGCCAAACAGCAGTCTACTTCAGCAGTTCATTAACATACGTAGCAGAATATCTTGATGATGGGGGGGGGGGAGGGGCCTCATTATCCCACACAGACAAGCATCCAGTCCAGGTTGGAGTTGCCATACAAAGTAGTTATTGTTTATCATTTTTTTTGGCAACTCCAACCTCGACTTGGAACTAAATTATTTGTGGTCACTGAACAGAATAAATGTAAAAAGGAGCATCACAGGACTACTAAATGAAAATATCACTTCGAAATCTAAACTGGAGTAGTAGTAGTCACTACTTATTTGTGCTAATTCCATGCCACAGTCAATATATTTACACAGCCTTGATATACTTTATTATACTTTATTTATACATGTACATACAGTTGCAGATTTGAACAAATTATTACATAATAACAGTTAATTGCGTGATTTTTATCAGGAATGGTTATTTAATAGAATACATAATAATACCATATACACCAGCAGTACAGCACGTAATTAGCACAATGGAACAGTTTTCATGACTGTCAAAAAGTTGGTAGCATTCACGTGCCTTACCACAATCACAATGTTTTCTAGAATTTTTTTCTTGTGCGATGTGATTGGACTGGCATTGGCTTGAATGTCCATGAATGTGTTTTTGCCATGTTTCAGGCATTTGATTGGATGGAGTATGTGATCAGGCTGGAGTATGCCTTGAGGTGTCACAACTGCTTTCGTGCTGTGAGCTTTTCACAGTCATATGAAAACTGCTCTAGTACTAAATACCACTGATAATTCAATAAAAGACAAAACAGTCACTATTTTGTGCAAAACAACCTCAGAGCTATTTCACATAATATTAAATATGAGCACTCTATAAATGGACACACTATTTATTGATAATAGAGCATGTGCATATTATGTCATAACCAGCATCTTGGTTGACAATAGCAAAGCATTCTTCATTAGTTTATCTTGTTAGATCAACCAACATGGCGGTTGTTTCATTGTTATTCATATCACAAGGGATTTTGAGTCACCTGGCTGCACACACACACACACGCAGTATAATATTTTTTACTTCTATTCCAATAAGGACAAAAATGAAAGAAATCTAGGAAACAAATGCAATATAACAACAATTTGTACAAACGTTTTCCACAAAAGAAATAAAAAAACTGTACTGTATCTCAATTTGGAAGTAATGACTTAACATAAAATTTACTAAAAAATATTTTAGAGAAGATGAATCACCAGAAATCCAGGTTTTGAACACAATATTAATTGATTATTGTTTATGCTAAAATAGCTATAACATCAATATCTCATTATAATTAGTGGTTGAGGTGATAAAGTAGCATCAAGAGGGCCAGTTCTTATGACACAAGCAAATATAGGACCAAACAACATTGAATTGAAACTCATATTCATGTTGCAGAGTCTTTGCAAATAATATGTTCTACTATGTATTACAAATAAGAATCAGGCTTTGATGGCTATACTTTTAAAATATTTTTAGTCAAATGAAAATAAAGTGGTTTTTACTTATTTAACATCTAGAGCACAACAGTAAAAAGCATGAAATAAAAACCAAGTTGTTACTGATAAATAGTACTATTTTGTGACCAATAATTGCTATCATTCAACCAGAATATTCATTAAACACGTCACAAATGGTCTCTTGTGTATTTGACTTTGCTTTAAAATAATTAAAACTTATGTCAGTAGAGTGCTTGCACTAAACCCGTGAAACAAATACTAATCTTTAGTACTAAAGAGTGATAATCAAACAATAGGAAACAAAGGATTCTGTATAAATAACTACTTATTATTACTTCATATCATTCAAGGGTTTAGTGGTGTGCACTCTATCAACTTTTGGATAGCTAAGTTTTTATAATATAACAATGGTAAACTATATCGCTTAGTTGACTTTCATTTGGAGAGTTTTTCTAAGATTCATGTCATTGCATATATGATGTTTATTCTTAGTGTCAGGGGCTAGGATTAGCTGGTTAGGTACAAGAACCCCTTCATATAAAAGATCTTCCAGGAGGTTGACAGATCTACAATTTATTTGCTTGAATTATTTCAAAAATCTAAGCCAGGCTTCTTGTATTCTCACTGGTATGGAACAAGTAAAGAAGCTCTTCTGTGATTGGTGGAATTTGAGTGGAATATTTCCATTTATCCAATAGCTAAAATTAGTTCCAATGGTAGACAAAATGAGAGGTGGGAGTAAACCACACTTGGCCAATATGCCAATATGCAATATGCCTTGGTGGCAATATTATAGACTGGCGTTGGATATTCCATCTTGCAACCTGCATGCATGGTGAGGTGTTCAAGGTGTGTGTATGATCTTTCATCATTTCTTTCGTTCAGCTTTGAGGAATTTCACCATGTCTTTAGGAAAAACTCCTTGATCAACTGCTTTGCACCATCGCCGATACTATAAGAAAAATAAATAAATCAAAATGAGTATTGCACGATGGAACTACCCAGTCGGGGGAAGAAATGTATTACAAAAATTCCAAGCACCCCAGCCCTCAAGTCATATTCACCAACCCTCTAATAACTGAACAGCCAAATTCTATTTTCTAACCCCCTCCCCCCTTTCCCTTTCCATACACATAAATAATGAAGATTTTTGTTGCATGACTAAATAACTGAACAATGATATAAATAACTGAATGATTCAAATATTTTGTCAACAACTTTGATAACTTGTAACTGTTTTAAGCAAATGATTGCATATTTTATAATAAAATATTTTAAAATATTTTTTTCAAATATTTGCTTCGTTTGAATATTTATGCATCGAGGGCAATACCCGGGGAACATTTTGTGGATATGAGCCTTAACAAGACAGAACAAGAAGACCTTCTCTCGGCATGCCGCAATCAAACAAGAAGGAATATTTAAAATGTTTTCTAAGCATATATTCACAGAATATCAGCTAGATAAAAATGGAATGGCAAATTCTTTTACATGAAGTACGATTTTTTAAGCCGATTTATACACAAAACTATTATTTGTTTACATCTTTTTAATTATAGTACTAAAACTGTACGATAATAAGTGTCATTTAATTTTTAGTACAAAAATAAAAATAAAATCCGTAACCAAGCGATTGATAAAATTTAGCAAATCAATAAGAGTGAGAGTGAATAATTTGTCCGGAACTTGAATAGAAATAATGAAAGTTGTTTGGGTCGATCAAGAGCTGTTTTGAGTCTAAAATTTATATAGATAGACTTATTTGTATTCCTACGAGTACATAAATCATATCAATATTTCTTAGATGTCTTTATGACTTACCATATCAAGCTCTTGCCATAGTTTTACGACTCCTTCTTCTTTAGTAGTGACCATATCATCCAAATGTTGATATCTTACTTTCTTTCTTGCTCGACATTCCCTTGCAGACTGTCGACTACGTTCAAGTTTAGCTTCAGTGTCTAAATGTGAAGGCCTTCGGCCTCTTTTTTTACCATCAGTCTTTTTAGTAGAATGCATTTCTCCTTTGGGGGACTCAGAAAGTGGCGAATCTGTTGAAGAGTTGCTTTCAACCGAGGAAAAACTATCGTGCTTAACTCGCCTTCCTCTTTTTATCCAAAATGGCGGATTATTGTCTTCTTGTTGTTCACTGCTGAAGTCTCGAAGTATTTCTTCTGCGTAAGAACTAATTTTTTCTGGCTTTAGTTCAGAAAAACTTGAAGCCATTCAAAGATAAAGCCTTAATAGAATAAGGCGATCGAAATCTTGGAGCTCTTAAAACGGTTTTGCTAACTTTTGTACAAAGTCTTCGATTCCAAAATGTATTTCTTTTCCTCGAGCCAAAACATTATGATGCAATGTTTATGCTGCTTTTTATAGGCACGTAAAATAATGATGTTGCGTTCAAAAATAGACCTGTCAATCAATTTTACTTGATTTGATTGGCTTGAAGTGGGACCGTATGACGTCAATGGCTAACTCAACCAATCACAGTTGAGGAAATCGTTAAGAAATAACTCGTGATTAGTCATATGACTTTTTTGCGACGTCATTCTGTGAAAGCTTTTTACCACAGGAAATCCAAAGATGTCTGAATGTGTGAAAAATTTCACAGCGTAAGAAGGACTTTTGGCTTTGTGAATTTTACATTAAGATCATATTTTGCTCATGCCCATCATGTTGCATAGCTACTGGCATTCGTGCATGCATAATTATTATTTGTGTTTTCGTGTGATATGTGTACCGTGTGATGTGCATGTGGTATAACGTTTACCGCGACCAGGCAACATAGGTGCGTGTGAGTCAGCATGCATTCCAGGAAACCTTATTTATGGCGCGGAAAACCGGAAAGAAATTAACAAAAGATTTCCAAGATAAAGCAAAATCAAGAAAAGCAGTGTAACAATCATCTGATCGCTAACGAAAAACAAGAACAAGTTTGCTTGTGAATATACTACAGGTCCGTGAGTGAAGTCTTTGGTAACTACGCACTGTGCGCAAAGGAGTTAGTTTTTCTAACCCTTTTCCGAATTGGTGTTCGATTGATATTCACCTAGTAATAATACAGTAATACCAAGCATCGGACACATTATCGAAGGAAATGGGATGGGGATCTAGTATAGCATTTTAGGGTGCTAGAATAAATTGTTACAAATATTCTTTTTTTGTGCGAATAATCAAATCTTGGAATGATCTTCCTAATAACGTAGTAAATCATACAGATGAACCCAACGTAAATAAATTTAAAACAAGACTTAAGAAACACATGAACATTTTTTGAAGTTAGTATTGTACATATATATATATATATATTATTAGTTCTTAAAATTATTTATTTATTTTAAATTAGGGGACTTATATAGGGCTAACCTCAATGTCTTCCTTTTCAAAATATGTAGTCTACATTTTTGAATAAAGTATTATTACATTATTACATTAGCATATACCACCTTGTGTACTTCCTAAGAACGCGCTCGCTCATTGGTTAATTGGAGGTGAATATTGTACGATATTCACCTCTGAATCTCGGAATATTGGGTCGGCAACAAAATGGCATCTGCCGGCAATCGTTTTGCTATACAATTTCCGATAAGGAAATTGAAAAAATGAAAGTAAATGTCATTCCTATCAATACTAAAAAGGCAACAAAGTATGGCCTAAAAGTTTTGCTAATTAAAGTTTGGCGTGAATTTGTCACGCAAACTGCAAGTTTCTGTTTGTTTGTTTTTATTGAATTATTGTATATAAAAATAAGTTACTCTGTACACAAGTTGGTATATGCTAAAACAATCATTCGCCTTCCGCGAATAATTGCTAAATATACCAGAGCAGAGTCAACATTCTTAACATCTTAGTAGGGGAGGGATCCTGATTCCGACAACGGCTAAGTGTATGCACTTTAATTTGCTGCATGCCGATTAAGAAACGGGTCCATATCATGTTCTTTCTCAAGATATGTGCGGGAAAAGGGACCAATGCATGCAGCAAACCATCCTCCTGACGGAACCTGACTCCTGCATTATAATTACACTACTAATAACCAATGCAGTGATCTCTGATCCCATGGAACTTGATCATATCGGCATCCACTATGACATATATATCATCGTTATCCATGCATGACGGACCTCCATGACAAGTACGTGGTGGTCGTCGTTTCATTCTACCCTTCAGTCTTCCCTTCCACCTTCTCCCACCCTCCCCTCCTTCCCTACAGGACTATCAGTTCCTATCAAGCGAGAACTAGGAATATATCTTTCAAATGGCTAGCCTGTTGCAGGGGCGGCGGAACCGGGGGTCCTTTCACCCCAAAAAATATTGGTTCTTAGTCATTGTTTTACGGCGCATGCATCTGCAATCAAACAAAACATTGTCATTATCATATAGCGCTAAATATAATATTCAGTGCCCCCCAAAGATTTTGAGCTTCCGCCGCCCCTGTGTTGAAATCGTATAGTAATCCTGGGAATAAAAAGGGTAGCCATTCTCATTCCTATTTCCATTCCCGTTCCCGTTTTTCAGTTTGTCTCTAATTCTCTGTTACCCTCATGAGCTTTTACATGACGTCGCCTTCTGAATGAGGTCTTGTTACGTCATTTTAAAATATAAGCTAGATGGAGAAAGTCACACGGAAAGCGAAAAAATGCCAACATCATCGTTGCCATCATCAGTCATTAATCATCGATTATCGTCTTCAACTAAAACCTGTTATATTCCTCAAGGACCACGGACGACCCTCTAAAACGTTAGGGGGGCAAAGCTAAGATCGGGAAATATAAGAGACTATTATGGGGAAAAAAATTGACTTATTTGAAAATATAAGAGATTATAATATGGGAAAGGAAAAGTGGGGGGCTATAGACCCCCAGCCCCCCGTCTCCGTAGTCCCTGTTCCTTATAAAACTTTAAGTAAAACTCAAGTTTTTTTATTAGTTTCATTATACAGGAACATAAAATATAAAATGCTTCATCAGTGAAGGGGAATTTATTCTCTAAGGTTACGTAGAAAAAGGATTTCAGCGCGCTGTACGGTCGTTGACAGTCCTTTCCGCCCCAGTGCCAACGTACATATGCGCTTGCGCTCTGGCACTGACCTGGCAAATTTGAATGTTCGAAATCCAAGGCACACAGACCAAAACAATTTCAATCAGATGTCTTTTCTCTATTTTCCTTGACAAAAACAATGAAACAGCTCAAGGAGACTCGTAGGGATTCTTCTTCTACTCTTTGACTTCAAAGAGGACTTGTATTTCATAGAAAAAACTCAAAACGTTTGGATTTTTCTGCGAATAATGGAGGCGACATGGAAAGTTGTTGTCAGGGAAAGAAGAATTTGCCGGTGAATTTGCTTTGAAAATGACTAAATATTACCAAAAAACTGTTGATTAACTGACACTTCAAGACAACTATGAGTACTAGAGAGTCTTATAGCGAGCTTAAAGTGGATAAAACTCCTCTACGTGTGACTGCAGTGACAAACTATGACCCGTTTGAGGTAAGCTGCAAAGAGTTGAACGTATTTATCGTCTTGGGAATCCTTTCGTCTACACATCAATTATATATGATGCTTTGTAAAATATATCCATAAAGCCATCATATTTTATCACTTTATATTCCGTTATTGGATTTTATAGACTCTTTAGCATTAAAGTAAATTGTACAAGGTTCAAACCCGTAAATCTTTTGTTTTATTTTGTCAGTATTTGTTGGTCTTTGTTTTGTAGTTTTAGCGTTGACTTTGAATACTCTTTGTTATCTTTAGCTTCATTTTTTCGCTTTAATCGTATGGATCAGCATGCTTTCGAAACGAAATAATCAACAAAATCTCAGAGGATCAGCTTTTGCTGTGGTTTCCCTGTTTTTGATTTTTCAACTTGCGTTTGAAAATTCACTTGAACTTGTGGTCAAAAATATTTCCACAAATTAAATTCAAAATCTTTAACCAAACATCTTGAATCCCGTTAACTTTAAAAAAAAAAACAGTATATCTTACCATTGACATATATATTTGTCTAAATATCTAATATCAATACAGCTGTATATCCTTTTATTTATAATTTTGTAATCTATTTAATGTTTAAATATCTTTTATTCAAGCTTATATACTTACAATTCCATTTCCCATATAAAGAATGTTATGATTATACAATACTTAGTTTATATGCAGATCACTTAAATCCTTTCACTTTTCATCTCTGGTACTGAAAGCAGGAAATTCCCCTCCTAAAATAATGATGATATCAGAGTTCTGAAGAATTTTCATCTCAGCCGTCATCCTGATATAACCTTTTAAATTAACTTTTTGTCAATCTTAGTGGTGAATAAATTCAATTCCAATATTTCTGAATTACTGAGAACACAGAAATTTCATCTTATCATATTTATGGAAACATTTTGTCTATTATAAATCAGTTTAGCTATAACCAATGCTTATATTATGTTGTTAAAGTTTGACAATTAAATTTATTGTTTCTATTATATACCGTACTAAGGTGTTGGTAACTTTCATAATTTTAATCACAGGTCCTAGAAAATGTCATTTTAAAAGAAAATGCATATGGTAAATTTGTTACCTTTCTAGAACATGGCCATGGTAACACGTATAGATCGACTAGACAGTGTGGGAACCAAAAATAAACTAACCTTGCATAATAATTATACATATTTCTTTGTGTTTGGCAGATTTTAAAATATTGGATTTTCTTGTAGAGTCTTACGTTAATGAATGTTGATTGACAAAGATACTGTTAGTAATGTTAACATAAATAAATAAGTTATATGTCTTGGCCAAATCACTGCATGACTGGGTTAATAATACCTTGTCAATAGAGTACTGGAGTGTGACATCATCAAATTACAAATTTTGCAATTGCAGTTTTGAAATGTTCATATTTGAAGAGAACACACCATTATTTTTTATATTTATATATATATATATATATTGTCTACATTTCTGCCAACTTTAAGGCTATTCCGAGCTTTAGAAATGGAGATATTGGGTATTTAAGCTCCAAAAAGCCCCATATATTTTGTCTTATTTTGGACTAGATCCAATCATGTTAGATCCTGCCTCAAATAAGATACAATGCATGGGGATATTTTCATATTAAATTACCATCTCAGCCGTTTTTTCGCTCTATCACTCTGAAATTTTGCACCATATCATATTTTTACATGCAGTTTCTGATAATGTTACCAAAATCCTAAATATCTTTATTGAAAACAATTTGTGATGTCATCACTTCAGCACACTTATGACCTGGCTGGTTATAACAAATGGAGCTGCATTTCCTTTATAAATATCCATTTATGTTTTTACACTTACAACAAAATAACAATACTTATCAAAGCTTCATTATCCGAGCTATGTTTACTGGGCAGAGACAAATAAAACAAGCAAAAGGTTGGTGTAAGATGGCTGTAGGGTTAACCTACAGCTGAGCTTTGATCATGCAAAATATGCAAAATTACTAGGGATTGATAAAAACCCTGATAACAGGAACTTCTAGTACTGCCCTGTGAATGTGAGGGCAAATATAACGCCTACATTATAATTTACTCTCCTCATGAAAAACAAAAATGGGCAGGTGACCAGGGAGGCGGAGGGAAAATTGAAGTGTGTCCACGCTTGGTGAAGGTTACAGAAGAATGACGCAAGCAAGATGCTGGGTTGCTATGGGAATGTCAGGTCAAATATTCCCATGGGTCCCCAGTCACGTGTCCGCCTCATGCTTCACTACATTAATTACATCATCCAGTATTTAAACAGGAAACCCAAAGTCATGATAAATATAAAAATTATATTTGCTAGCAAATATTCTATTTTGCATAAAACAAGAAAGAATTATTTTTCGGGCCAGGAGGACCAGATAGGGAAAAAACTGTACATACTGTAATAAGGTCTTGAATAACAATATCGGCCCATTTTCAATGCAGAAGGCATAGTTTTCCCAATCTGGACTGACTTTAGCAAGTTAAATAACTTATTTATTATTTCTCATAATTTACTTTTTATTTTGTATAGCAATTTTATTGTTGTTTAGCAATTTGTTATCCCTGGTTGCAATACTGCAGTTCAAGATTTTAGGATACTAGGCTGCACCCAAAGAAATAACTTTTTTTATTTACTTTCAGGCCAAATTCTGTGCTTCTCTTTACTGGTTAGTGTTCAGAGCAACAGAAGATGGTGGACTGGATGAAATTCCTCCTCAAGTTACTAGTCCAATTGAGAGAGATGCAGAAGTAAGTATTCATTCAGTCCTCCAATATGAAGGGACTCATTTAAGAAGGAGGAGGGTATATTTAACCATTAGACCCAAATTAAAGCTGTAATGGTCTATCAATCATTATGCTCCCATGAGAGGCGGAAGGCCAAATGGGCTATTGACTCACATACCATAAAAACAAGGTCTAAATTTTTTCGTCTTGCTCTTCTAGTCAGTAAAAAAATTGATTCAAACAATTTTGGCAGCCATTTTCTCTGTAAGTGATCTATCACTAATAGTTCAATCAATTACACCCCAGGATTTTCTATATACCAAATTTTAAAAAAAATATCCCTATTCCCCCCAATTTTGTGAATAAAATTATTATAGTATTTAGATATGCAGGGCAGACATGGGCTCCCTTTTTAAATATTATATATAATGAATTAAATAAATAAATACAGTTTAGCCGTCTCAGAGGGCTCCCTATAGATGGCAAAAATGGCTAGCTAATATTTTCTGGTTTTCAAAAAAACATCCAGATCAAGTTGCTGTTGCTTCCCTAAAAAACCACTTCTGCACTGAAAGTTCGTGCAGCCAGTAAACAACATCCCTCATTTGTATAAAATGCTAAACAATATCAATTCAAACTCCAAATAATTATGGCTTTTCTAGGGCTTGTAGAACATTTAGGTTCAGAATTTTAAACACTCACCTGAAAAACCTCAAAAATTCCCAGTAGTGAAAGGGTTTATTATGAAATTTTCCTTTTCTTTTTGTCTTAGAACCGCATAACTGTTCGTTCAGAGGTAATAGAGTTACTAACAAACGATGAGATCTATGGTAAGGTGTGCAACTGTATCTTTAACAACAAGGATCCTGTAGTAGGTCATTGGGCTGTTATTCAGTGCTTGTCTCGACATGGTTTCTATGTGGTAGAAGAAGGAGACATTGCTGTTACTGATTCTACTCTACAGCAAAGAAAACCATTTAGAAAGGTATGACATGAGTTAATTACCAGGGCTTAAAATAATGGCTGTTCAACTGACAATGTCCCTCCCAAATTGGAACTTGTTGGGTCCAATCTTTGCCTTGCTGGTCTGACACTTTGACCACAGTAATGTTGAACCAGAAACAAGGTATGACTGAGCTAAAATAATGAGTGGTGATTATGACCAGTGACTGATCGACCATCATTTTAAGCCCTGGGTTACTTAGCCTCATGTTCAGCATGTCATAAGGGTCATCACACAATGCTCTCTTGTTCATGTTTATGTAAGAATTGAACAGCATTGCATAATGACCAGATTATTATGATTTTGGAGAGTGTTTCTCAATCACAATAGCGTGCATCCTCGATTTTTGGATGCCACTTGCGGAAGCTAAATAACCAATCAGAGCACCTATTATATCTTATAATTTGATTCAGAATAATTTGGTAAAAAATTAAATCTCGATATATGTAACTTTCAACTTCAATATCACTATCCCTTGACATTCCTGTTATGTGATTGCCGCCTGTTTTTATTCAATTCATATTTTATTTTAGTCAACTCATATGGCCCTGATGGATGCTTTGATGGCTGCTTACTCTTCCAAGGTTGTTACCATACCACAGGTCGTGCAAGCTGTCAGGTGAGTAACGTTAAGCTGGTCAATGAGCATTTTGGAGTAGGGTTCCATTGATCAAGCTTGCCTTTGTAAGTACATTTTGGCTTTTTTTAAAGAACTCTTGTTCTTCCTTTTACTTTTTTCATTTACTCACTCATTTATATACTCACTGGATTTTCTGTTTTGATTCACCAATCCTTCCATTTTTTATTTTCCATTATCCATTTGTTCCATTTCCTGCATCACCCATCCACTCATCCACTCATCCATCCCTCCCAACCCTGACTCCTCTTACCTTTGTCCCACAAGCTCAAACGTTTGGCTTGGATTTCTTACGATCTGAAACTTTGATTGCAAAAAAACATACCATACCATAAAAAAATCCAAAACAAATATTTCTACTCCTCACAGTTATCTTGAAAAAAGGTAACATTCTAGTTGTTTGTGGGACAAGATTTCAATTCCACTGGGAAAACTGCTGCTATTGTCTAAGCTAAATGGATTTTCTGCCTATTACTACTTTTATTGCTTAAAGTGCAAGCCACGAAGTTCAATGTCTCTTTCGCCAGCTAACAGTTCAGCGACCGTCAATCGATGAACTAAAATTTAAAAAAGCAGTACATCAAGGCAGATTTTGGACTGCATATTCAAAGATTTTAATTTTCTAATCCTCTAAAATCTTTAATTCAGTCTAAACTCCCTTAAGATATTGCTATTTTATTTCAATTATTAGCCTGCGTAGCCACCCTCTTTGGGCGAGAGGAGAAGGGAGAGGGGACTGGGGAGGGGAAAGGAAAGGGAAGGGGGACTGGGGAAGAGTCCCCCTCCCCTTCCCTTTACCCCTCCCCAGTCCCCTCTCCCTCTCCCTTCTCCTCTCGCCCAAAATTCCCTACCAGAGGGCCGCTATGCAGGCTATTCAGTTATTTGATTGATGGTCATTGAAATGATAGTCGGCATACACGACATAGAACTTTGTGGGTTGCACTTCAGTGATAATGGTAGTAAATTAGAATCCAATCCGTACTTTATTTTTGATGATGCCCTATAATATATAATTATTTTTGATATCTATATTTTTTAGGAAATTCGCTCCCTTTAACGCATCCAAAGAACTGCCATTTGACTTGGAAGATTCCCTTTTACTCTGGATCAACAAAGTGTGCTCAACTCTCAATGACAACGAAATAAAGAAACAAAAACTCCGTGCTGAGGATCTCCTACGTGACCAAGACAAAGCCAAGAGATTTCGATTCAGACGTGATCAGCTACAGCCTAAAATACAGCAATTATTTCCTGTCATCGATGACCTGCTGAAGGGAATTAGTGATGGGCAGTGCTTACTGGGACTAATATCATTCTACTATCCAGGAGATATCAACATTGATGGTATGGACTACTAACTGTGTCCTTCTTTTGGTCATGGATTCCATAAAATTACATGAAAATATTTAGTAGAAATGTCTATTACTCATTCAGAACTGTGGCCTTAATCAAAGATCTTTCCTTTCAATGCATAGGGGAGTCAGGATTGCGTGGTGGTAAAACGCTCGCCTCTCAACTCTGATAGGTCCGGGGTTCGAATCCCAGTCACCCCATGTGAGCTGAGTTGGTTGGTTCTCTTTCTGACTCCAAGGGGTTTTCCAGTCCACCAGTTTTTCCTCCCTCCTCTCAAATCAACCCTAACTTCAAACTGGTTAGAGCTGTGCTCCGGGGTCATACATGGACTGTATAGCGGCTGCCAGAGGCGCCTTCACATGCTTTCAGTTCGACCCCGTTGAGCTGCGCCACTGCTGTAGTTGCTGTGGTGATAAGCGATGACAAGTTTAATGCATGTTTCTTCTTTGACTTCGTTGGGTCTGACTAAACGACTTCTCCCTGCTTTCTAGTCTTCTAATGGGTAATAAAGGAAACGCTCTGATGACGAACAATTGTCCGAAACGTCAGACAATTGGGTGATTTACCACGTAGGAAACTTAGTGTTATTTTTTAAATTACCTGCCTTTTGGCAAATCTTCAAATGAAAATGAATAAATAATGAATAGAACAGATATAACTTTTTACATCGGTTTTAAGTTCCTTCATATTCACTTGTTGTCATAAAGGTAATTATGTCGCTCTGCGATTTGCTATACAGCAGGTTATTACGCAACAACTTGCCCCTTTATTCCTGGACCATTCTCTAGCAATTGAAGTAATTGCTTGTTTACAACTTGAAACTTTTAACTCGCTCTCCAAGATAAACATGGTGCTGTTGTACTCGAGGTCGTTGTTGACACCCCTTGCTGATACAATACTGATTATCTTGAATATCTGAGAAGAAGGTGCTGCCTTTGTAACATGATCACTTAGAGTAAATTTAGCTTACAAACCACCAATGATTTCACTTATACGTTCTATTTATATTTTCAGACATTCATTTTGGAGAAGACATTTCCCAGGAAAAGATAGTAGGAAATATCGAACTGTTTCGATCCCTGTGTAGCCAACATATTTGTACATCAGCATTGTCTTTACAAGTTGAGGATCTCATGTACAGCTCTCAGGCAATGAAGCCCAACTTGATTGCTTTACTGTCTGAAATATTTTACAAATGCGAAGTTGAAGAAGATCGAGAAGTGAAAGACATTAAGCTTCGGAGTAGAAGTTGCACTGACTATTCAGAAAAAAATGATGCTGGGATCAAAGAAGCCGTGAAAGAGAACTCGGAAAACCATCGAAGCTCTAGCGCTCCGATGTTAGCATCTGAAATCATTGCTACGCGTTGTCCTGCTGTAGGGAAGAAGCTGATGGATTTTACTAAAGAGAAGAACAAGCAAAGATCATCAACGTCGACTGCCTCTGAGCAAAATAATCAAGAACAAAATAAAACTCCGAGGAGAACATTTGATGACAAGACTAGCGAAAAATCAAAATCTAAACAAAATAGAAGCTATTCGCTTCAGTTAGATTTTACAGACGATGGAGAAGAAAAGGTAGAGGAAAAGGGAGGGGTGGATGAAGAGGATCCTTTCAACAGCATCATGCGTAAGCCAGTCCTTGCTTCGAGCAAATACAGCGCACCAGATCGAGTAGGGGGCAGCCCTCGTATACCACCCAAACCAGAACCAAGACTAAACAAGCGAGCTAAACAGAAACCAAGAACCCTTGCACTGGAGGACTGGGAAATGGAAGAAAAGGACACAACAGGTTGGTCACTTAGTTGACTTAGAGGGGTGGGGTGAGGGTTGAAGCACCAAACACAAATGTACTACTTTTTCTACTTATGCCTTTCCCATTGTATATCCCACTAATGCCTTTCCCGTTTTTGAAAACGGAATAAGTCATTTTTTCAGCCATATTCAAATATATGTGAACGGGTCTTCGACATCACATTACCTTGGGGACAGCGAATTGCTCACTTCATTGCATTTGTTTTGACATATTTTCGGTTGAATGCGCACTCCCGAAATGATTCATTCTCTGTACCTATACGCGGACTGTTTTGTCTGATAAAACTATTCAACGACGTTGCTCTTATTCTGCTGTGACTTGAGGGAACTCTATTTTCAGGCTTATGATGTCCTCTTTAAGGTTTGATAGACTGATAATTATTATATATCTTGCATGGTATTCTTAGAATATAGAATATAATGTAGATCTAATATCTGGAGAGCACGGCTAGATGGTGCCAGCTCGCTGTCAATGCGCCGCTTCTCTTTGCTTTATTCATGGTTTCGATCCCTACGAAATCCTGTAAGTAGAGTTCTCCTTGGTTCTACCGGCTCTCCGTTTTTTTCCTTTTTCCGGAAAAGTCAACTTTTAAATTGCAATTTCATCTTTGTCCTTTAACCTGCATTTTTTTAAATCTGCCATTGTCTTGATTAAACGTCTAAAACATACTCAAAATTACATTTTACGTTTGATTGATTTAGACTAACCCAGGACTTGACACTCAAGACCAATCTAATCCTAATTACCTGATTTAATCTATTGTCGATTGCTTCTTTTGTTCTAAGGTCAGGTTTAAGTGCTATAATAGTCTGTTAATATAGTGATTATGGGTAACATTATCAACGCCTGGGTTGACAGCCACGCCCATCTGGGTAGTTTAATCATAACTTATACTCACCATTTATTAAATGAGGGACTTAATGAATCATTATAATTACCGATCGATAGCAGTTTTATTGAGCACATACAGTAGAATGCATACGTCCATGCATCCCTGTAAAAGTTAACTAACAAAATTGTCAAATTTGTGCAAAGATTTGTAGGTCTATGGTCTACTGAGGTCTACCGAACTTACTAATTTGTGCAAATTTGTGCAATTCCTTACATTTTTTTCACGGGCTTATGGTACGCGCTCTACTATACATGGCAAGATATCTTCTTGTGTAAGGATTTACTCTTTGATTTAAGCCATATAAGGACTAAGGCTCCAGATCGATGCTGTCTCGCTATTTCTCGCCGACAATTGTTTGGCTTTGAAAAATTACTTGAAATTTAACTGTCATGTCTATAAAACTGTCGCTTCCTCTTTGAATATTAAAAGCAAAAGATGACTCGTGAAAATTAATGAATTAGTTAGCGTCATTAAGACGGACTGTAGAAAATTCCAAACTTAAGAATATGATTGGATGCGTTGTATTTCAATATTACTTAGCTAAACATCGAGACGATCGAGTCCCGATTTTAATATTTTACTAGATAATATTATTTTATTATTTTTCTCTTCTGATCCCTATTCTAAATAGCTAGTTTTGATATCTTGTCGTGTTGTTTTTCCTTTCCACAATATTAGCATAGTTTATTTTACTATGACTTGATTCATGAAGAAGTATAACCAATCCTACGCCAGACGAATACACGGACTGAATAATTAATATCCCAGAACCTTAACTCCATTTAAAAAACCTTATTTACATTATGCAGTCTAGAAACATGGCAGTCAAGATTTCCGTAGAAAACGCGAATTTTCGACGAACATGAAGATATTTTAACAGCGAAAATTACCAAGCTATTTCAGTAGAACGTCATTCTTCCTTCGTAGGTCGTCAGGTAGGTAGAATACCTGGTTTCCTTGTACTCTGATCATAATTTCGAATGTGATCGTCCTCCACCGGCAATGGAAGTCAAACTATTATTCACACTTTTCGGCGTAAAACAAGATCTCATATTGGAGTATCTCGACAAAATATCAAAACGTTTTCTTACGATTTTTTTACTTCTATAAAAAAAAACAACAGCGGATTGTATTTTTTTCTTCTCTTTTCTACGGCGATGGTATTCGATACAAGATCAAGTTTATTTGCAAAACCTTATTTATAATCGTATTTTGGAGATCAAATTCAGTCGTGGATAAAACGTATGAGTGGCTGTTGTGTTTAATATGTTTATCGTGAATCCATTTTTGCTATATTTTACCATAGTTAACTATGATTTTATTTGTCTTTATGGTATTCTTTAGGCTGTACTCTTTGCTATGATATTATAGGTATATAAGGTATATTTTTACATAAATAATAAAAAAATATTAATTCATGCAGGTTATTTATTTTCCCTGACCACGTTTGGTTTCTTTACAACATTTTCACCCTAACCCTAACCTTTGTCAGCAAAATCGATGTTACTGTTTCTAGGTTCTCTTTGACGAGGCGCGTCATTTTTGAAGGCGTTTCGTGACACTAAACACTTGAATATTTAAGTTACTTTTCGAATGAGTATTGCATGACTTCATTTTAATTTTGATCATCTTATCACATCGATTTGAATAAAAGAAAATAATGAATTATCTCTTAGTTGCCTTAAAAGACTATTTGCATACTCTTGGTAGATGAATGGTAGATTTTTCGATCACAGTTTATTCCATTTTTCATTAACAACATATTCTCACACCTCCCTCTTGCCTTATATTAGCAAAGAAAATGTCAAATTTACATTTTATTCTTTAATATTACGTTAAATGTTTTCCTATAGTGATCGGGCACGGTATTCTTTTATATCAGCCTATGTGTGTGTATATATATATATACAATATGATTCATGTGCATTATTCCAGTTCATAATACCAAGTTTTTATAGGATGGTATTTATCCTTTAACCCTATGGTATCTATTCTTTAGGATGGTATTAGTAATAGTTATATTTATATTGATAGTTATTTATAAAGCCGTATTTAATATTATTCCAGATCTCATTTCTCCCTTGCAAAAGTTCCTGAGAGGTATGTGCCGACCTGTGATCCACCACGCTGCCTCGTTCACCCATTCCTAATATTATAAATCTATTAGAGATTTTAAAAATTAATAAGTCTAATGCATTACTTCCATACCACTCTAAGTCACTCTACCACCGTAACCCATAACTATACATAATGAGGGCTTATTGATCATCATCCCTTGCTTTGAGATTCAGTCAGATATTTTAAAGTGCCTATGACCCCTAACTCAATATTTTCAGCATTGATTCTACATGAAGTGAATAGTCTAATGGTAAAATATTTTTTATATGGTTGGAGTGATGCATCTTGGAGATATCAAGGTTTATACTTCCAGTATGCTTATGAGTGTGATGTCATAGTAGGCATTTGGGTTTATTTGTCATCATTTTAAAATCAAAACACTGATTACTATGAGAAAACAAATTTGCAATAACCTTTCTATAAACCCTGAGTAAGATAATTATGTTTTATTCAGGATATTTTACTACCCCAGTAAATTTTCGTATATTTGATAATGCCTACTATGACATCACAAAACGATATTAACTACAAAGACTCCGTTTCAACATATCCATAACTTCTCAACCTTGTAACTGTTATAAAACCATTAGATTTCATTACCTTTTTTAACGCATAATTTGCTTGAAATAATCGTCATAAAAGCTAATTATATTAATTACAGATTAATTAATGATTAATTAATTGATTAATATATAATATATATTTAATATACTTTTGATATTTTTTCGTCATAATTTCTTCATAGTGTTAGATTTAGTTATATGTCATATTTGTACTAAGCACACAAATGAAGAGCCAGATAAGCCTGTGGCCACAGGTGACGGATATGTAGAGCTTGGGGCGGGAGGCCTTCGTCCGTGAAAGCACCTCCATACCATCCTTCCCACCCTTTTTAATACCGCTCTGCTGCCCATGTATGCTCATATCGTAGAATTCTTTACAATGCATTAAACATGTTCTCTATGCATAAACTTGTTATAGACATTCACGTGGCTGATCTCCAGCGGTCCCAGTCCCTCACGGGTCTCGATAAGACCGGCATGGAACCGAGGCGATCATTCCACGCATGGCAAGAAGGAACCAGCTCATCTGATACTAATCTTGATATGAAGCGAAGTCAGAGGATTTCATTGGATTTCAGGTTAGTAGTTATAGTAAGTAAAGCAGAGATTCCTGCAGCACTACCCTTTGTGACCAACGAACATACGGAAATTATAAATTAAAAGATAGATTGTTCTGCATTGTTAGACACGCTCGCGCAAAAATCATTCAAAAAATTTCATAAAAGCAATATAAAACGTCCACTTGTGTCTATATACTGTGATATAAACACTCTGGTAGCTGTAGAGCACTCGAGAAGTTAAAGAAACACTCAGCTAATAGCTTCCTTCGTGTTTATATCACAGTATATAGACACGCCTTTAATTCTAATGTCGATTAGGCTCCCTGTGATACCACTCATTTCCTTCCCTTTCCTCACTTTCTACATTAACTAACCCACTTCATTTTTTTATTTCAGACCCAACCAACACCTGACATCATCCCAGGCATACGAAAGAGTGAGAGACAAACCCGGGTTGCAGGCCTCCATCAAGTACAATGAGGATCGTGGATCTCAAGATAGTGTTAAATCTACTGATAGCCTTACCATTACCAACAAACCATCCTCTGTACCTACTAGAAAAGATGGCTATTTCCAAGGTACCGGCAATCAACATACATATCAGTTGAATTGACAATAAATTTATCCGCTGGATGAGGTTTATCCGTCGGATAGCGCTATCCACTCTTCGTACAACCGGGTCCTGCAGTTTATTTTGCCAAAGGGGAGTAGGCTAGGGTCATGTGACTCTTCGTTAATATAAATGCCCAAAGGGGGTAGGCTAGGGGGTAGGGCTAGGTGACCTGTTAATGTAAATGTCCTAGTACTAGAACTTCTCATACCTCGACAAGACTTCTCTTAGAAGAGCTATATACCTCTGTCAATCAGTAGTTTAGATTGCTGTCCCTTTGATGGGAAGAAGCCAAAACGATTACGCATAAATGCGTTTGTTTTTATTTTTATAAGGAAATTCTCAAAGTTGCACAAGTTCGATGTCTGAACGAGAACTAAAGGAGTTTGAAGAAATGGAAGCCATGGTGCTTGCCCAACGAAGTAAAGACTTCAGTAAGAATACTGCGGCTAAAGATCGAGATGTCTCTGAAGAAGACGTGTTGAATGCGAGTGTAAGCAGCGATGATATGAATCGATTTAGACTTGAGGTTCTCCAAAGACTGTCAGAAGATAAGATTAGAAACATAGACAGACAAGGAAGTAGCGAACAGCATCAGTCAACAATGCATTATGGGAACAAAAGGGTAGACAATGAAAATACTAGACAACAATCTAGTTTGGACCCCAATGGTGATGTATCAGAAGAACTATTATCGCCTATTAATGAATCGTCAGAACCAATATTATCATTACCAGATACACGTGCCTCCACTCCCTCGACCACACCCAGTAGTCCGTGCTCACCGCTAGAGGTTGCGCCTTTCATGCCTGCCTTCTTCATGACCTCACCTGCTAATACCATCGATAAAAAGGCTTACAAAAATGCTGTCGCAGCCAAGAATAAACAGGAACGCCAGGAGAGAATGAAAGAGGCGCTTGGAGCTGAAGGTATTGAGCCATCGGTATCTCAGACACCACGCTCTGAATCGCTCATGCGCAGTAAAGAAGATATGTCACCCAGAAATAAATCACTGGAGGCACTGACGCGTGGTAGCTACACAGTGGACAAAATGTCGGTTGATGCCGCGAAGGCTGCTGGGATACCAGTCATAGGGAATGAACGAGTAAGCGAGTTGACCTTAAACGCGGCTTATAGAACTACAACACGAAGTGTGTCTGTGCCTGAACCGCTGGCAGAGAACCTAAATACCCCTATACACGACAGGGTATCTATTTCGAGTTCCCATTTAGTAGAACAAGGGTACGATGGTCAAATACCTCACCAGTTGTGTAACATTGATTCACAGAGTAAAAGTCCTATCGGGTCGCACGCTATATCGCATGAGGACCCACGCTTTCAAAGTCACGAAGATGCGAGACAGTTCTCTCCGAGACCATCAGAGGATGTTGTTATTTTTGACCGTAATTCTTCAGAATTATTCCGAGGCTCCAGTGCGTATGCTCAGGAAAGGCTAACTCATGGTAGTCACAAAGCTATGGTTCCTAATAACGTTCGGCAGTCTTATGTAGACGTTGGTTATGGTGGCAGCGTTGGGCTTCCTGATAATCGACCGATGAATCAACACAGCAGTTATCAGGAACAGTTCGTGGCTGAAGTATCAAACCGATTAACCAATCAAGAGCAGCTTAGTGATGAAATAGATTCAAGTCATGTACGTGCCTCTCAAAACCAAGATCCCTCGAGAACATCTTTCGTATCCAACACTGGAACTTACATCAGGAATTCGCCGCGAGACTCAAGGACGTCCTTCGTTAGTACCATGAATACAGACCCAAGAAACTCGTTTGTTACGCAGAATATGAGTGATAGAAACTCCTTCGTACCTACCCCTTCAGAAAGTATTCGAAATTCGTTCGTTAGTAACCCAGGTGCTGCTGATGTGAGAAATTCATTCATCGGTAGCCAAGGAACAGACTTCAGGCACTCTTATGCTAGCTCTGCAGGAGCGGAAGCAAGTGGAAACTCAGCGTACATTATGTACAGTAGCGCAGATCAAGGTTTAGAGTCTAGACCAATTTATAGTGATCAATATGGCACTTACATCAAAGATACGTATTCCCACCAAACACCAAAGGGATACCAAAGGGATGCTGTTCATGATCAGAGAATGGATAATGAATATTCAAGCCCAGGACAGCCACATAAAAGACATTCAAGTCCAGGACAGTTTGGCACATTTCGTAAGCACCCAGGACCTCCCGTCATACAACGACAGCCAAGCCCTGGGTACCACTACGAACAACACGCACCAACCAATCACAACACAACACCTTATCATACATCCCAAATTACATCGACAATGGATATTGGTCAGCAAGGGGAGCTCCAGTATTCTTCATCTCCTCGAAACGAGAATGAGCAAAATTATAGAATTCCTACGAGTCAGCAGTACCCTATTCCCGGACATGCGCAGACTGATCCACACCAGCATTCCCCCGTTATGTTTCTTCAAAATGGTTCACCGACATACAGAACCCAAGAATATAGACCAAGAAGTCATCAAGAAGTAGTTGACACCTATCGTGGTTCAATACCAGAAACTAACTTTAGCCCAAGAGTAAATCAAATACAGGAAAACACATTTCAAACTGTACCTCAAAGTCACAGAACACAAACCGGTGAAACGGCAAGAACCCAGTCCCCTAGGGCTCAAAACGGCAAACATCAACCACGTGACTCCGAAATCCGTCTTGGCACCCCAGACCGTAAATCCCAGGCCTTTACGGTCGATCTTGATACAGGAGAACTGAAAGAAATGAGTACTAGTTCCGAAAGCATGTCTCCTCGGTCGCCGGGATCCACTATACTAAGATCCAAAACATTTAGAAAAGGACCCGAAGAAAAAGTGTTTGATTATGATACTAAACAGACGAAAGAAGAACAAAAACAAGGCAAAATGAGCCCTCAGACATCTCAAAATGAGCCAGCGGTCATAGGTGGAAAGGAAAATGTCCCATATAGTATTGGTACTACAAACAGCACAAGTTGGTCTCAGTCAGCTGAAGCATTGATGTCTGTGTTGCATAACGGATTCCCTGGCGAAAATAAGGTAAATGAATAAATAGATATCATTTTGTCGGTCGGCCGGTCATTCGATCGTTCACTCGCTTCTTCATTCATTCTTTCATAATGTCGTATTTCGTCGCGAATAGTCCCTTCACAGTTCCCTGCGCCATCTTGAAAGGAAGCCGTGCCTTTGCATCGAAGCGAGACGAATGGCGAGCTTGCAATGATAGAGACATGTGAATAATTGTCCAAGGTGTTAAAAAAAGGTCCCTAACTTTGTATCTACGAGTGGAGCACGTGTATGTAACTGCTTTCTTTTTCTTTGCCAGCTGAAAAATGAGGATGGAGTTTTGGCTAGTCCTCGTCGTCGCACTAAGTCGGGGTCCAGTGACAGTGCAAGTCCTGCTCCTCGAATTAGCTGGTTGACAGCAGGGTTAAGTGGGTGTGGAGGGCAAGTCATGCTTAATGAAAAAGGTAAAGATATTTGTCTCTTTTCTTATTCGCTAAATACCGTTGTGTTTTATCACTTAAGAAACTTAGGCTTAGCCTCGCAAGTCAAGTGTAATGCAAAGAATGTGCAGCTTGAACAGCTTACCAATGTTTTAAAATTCTTAATGGTATCTGTGAATTTTTTTCCTATAAACGAGGCTAAGCTGTGGTGATGAGTCTGGCCTTCAAAAACAGCGGTATACATTGAATGCGAAACTGGTGTATTGGGGAAATGAGAAAGCAAAGTCTTAAGCAAATGCTGGGAGGTTAAGTCCATTCTTCCTTAAGCATAACCGCGTGCTAGAAGTTTCAAAACACCCCATACAGGTTGAAATACAATGCAGGTTTACCACCAGTATTTTATCAGCGTGCTCTCACAATCTACTCAACACATTTATACTCATGGGAAGAGTTAGGCATTGTAAGCTAGGGTGGGGATTTTTAAGGAAGTTTGAAATTGGTGCAATGTACCTCTAAGGTACTAGCCTGCGGGTAAAATTACACCAAGTAAATAATTCTCATAGGTGAGATAGAAGAGACCCAGAACAAGGAAGGAGAAGAAGACACAGCGACAGCCAAACATTTGACTTTCCTTCGGCTTCACTTCGACGAGAAACGACGTCAGATCGAAGCTGAAAAGCGGCGTAACCACGAACAGTGGGAGGATGAAAGAAGAAAATTGGGAGAGACATTATTTTGGTATTCGATTGGTCGAGCGCAAGGAAGTAATAATGAACCTGGACCGGTTAGACCTGGAAAAGAGGTACGTAGATCGCATTACATAAGACCTTTTCCAGGTATTGTGAAACCGGGTCTTTAATATATGGTCCTTAGAATCCAAGACCTTTTATAAAGATACCGATACGAAACAATAAAATTCTATTGAAAACAAAAGTTATATGTTGCAGTGTTTCCTTATTCCATGTTAATAACGATCTCATGGTTGTTTTCTAGGGCTCCATGCGTATCAAAGAACCTTTGAGGGTCATTACTCATCCACCACGGGTTACTGACTACAATGGACCAACCAGTTCTGGCCAGCCAACCCCACCCATCGGGATATCAACACCTTTAGAATGTATGTCGCCCGTCACAAATCACCCCATCCAGTCTAAGCCAAACTCAGGGTACCATTCTCCGACTGTTGAAGGTTATCAATCGCCGCGTGACCCTGGGTACTACATACCACCCTCGTTTGGCCATGGGTATAACCAGGCATCTCCTCATCGTCCTGGATGCCATTCCCCTTCTGCTGCTTCGCCTACTTATCAGTCTCCTATGTATTCGCAAGCGAATTACCCGCAACCAACGTCATCACAAACTGGTTACCACCCTCGTATATCTACTCACCCTGGCTCCCAGTCTCCTATTAATTCTCGAACTGGTTACCAGTCTCCTATTTCAGCTGCTGGTTTCCAATTTCCTACTAATAACGAAGGAAGACCACAGTCAGCAAACGGAACCGGTTACCATGGAAACATGCAGATGCAAGGTTACCAAGCTGATTCAACTGCCAAACCAAATCTTCCAGTTGATCAAGATCAAGAATATGAAACACGTGAATTTCGTCTTTCCGAATACCCCCCTCAAGCCACCACTCCTTCGCAGCAGCACCCCCAAAACAATGGACCGTCAAAGTCCCCATCGCGAAAATGCTGGGAGGTCAGCAGCCCCACAGTACCTCCCTCTGTACCTGGTTTGGTTTCCCAGTCATCAGTTGGTGATAGTGATCAGGATGTCCAGCCGCAAGATGACAATGGTATCTATGAAGACGAAGATCCTTCATCTAAGAAAGCCTTCTCAATGTTCATCGGTGACGATGACCCTGAAAAAATGAAAGAGGTAGGTACTTATTTTTGTTCTGAAATTTTGTAATCTTGAAATGCAAATGACGATGACGATGACGATGATGATGATGATGATGATAATAGTAATATAGACTTCTTGAAAACATATCTAACATAAGAAGCAAACAGGCAGCAGGTCACAATAAGTAAATAAAGAATATAGCTATAAACTCCTGTTAAACAGGAAAGTTTTGACTGCAGATTTAAAGGCAGGAACAGAGATGAGGTACTTAACCGGCATCAGGTAGATTATTCCAAAGTACAGGTGCAGCTAGAGCAAAGCATCTGTTTTGGAGTATGAAGAAGAAATTTTGAAGAAGACCGCAGGGAACGGCCAGGCTGGTACAACTTGAGGAGGCCAGAGAAATAATTAGGAGCAAGGTCGTGAAGGCAGTCGAAGGTCAGAAGAAAGACCTTGAAAATAATTCATTGTGAGACAGGGAGCCAACGCAGGTTCTTGAGAATAGGTGTTATACTGTCAGAGGTCTAGGAACGGACGATAAGTCTCGTGATGGTGTTCTGCACTTTCATCATCATCATTGTTGTTGTTATAATTATTATTGTTATGCTGATAACCATGGTAACCAGGGATATATTCACTTTAGGAGGGACTGACTCCAGAGCAGAAGAAGAAGAGAGACAGGTTCTTAAGAAATCGACAAAAGAAAATGGAGGAAGAAAAAGCTAAAAGGGAATTGGAAAACGAGAAGAAAAGACAGTAAGTAGCACACCAAATTGAAAAAACGTGGACATTTGAAGAGTGTTTGGCAGACACATGCATAAAGGTGACAAAATACTTTGTTAACTTGAATCGATGTTTGAGAGCTGCATAACTGCAATATGCATGTAACGCACTTATCAGGCGTTAGGGTACACTAAGTTCAAACGAAGTCATTAAACCCAGTATTTTGAACACGCGTTCGTAGTTTAATCGACAAATGAAACGGTTCGACAAGAAATTACACGGTTACACGGTTTGAAAACTACAAAGCAAAGGTAAATAAAGGTTATAAAACTACAATAAATACAGAGAAATTACAACCAAATATCTAGAGAAAATCCTTACTTACATTACTGGGCCTTTTTTGTAATGAATAGAAGTCGGGAAGTAGAAATAAAACGTAGAAAATATAACAACAAATTATATTATTCGCACATGGTTTCTTCTGACTTACGTCTCTCCAAACGTTTTTTACTGATACGTCTTATTCTTCCGCGCGACTCCGCTGACCGGAATTGCCAAAAGAAAAAATCCGAATAAATTATAACAATATTAACGACAAAACGGTTCTGTTTCAACAAATGTTCAGCCATTACAATGCATAATATTAGCCCCACTATCTGTTGACACACAACCCCCTTGGGTCTCAGCTTTGATTGTTTACTGATTTTCAATTTGGTGCATACAATATAAGCGGTCGATGCCGGTCGGTCCTATGACGAGCGAGATTTTTGATAAGAAAAAAAATCAACTTGCTCTAACTTGCTGATGACTGGTGCTGATGACAGGTGCTCCTGAATGCCTGTTCAAATTATCTTTCTTTAATTTTGTCGCAGACGCGAGCAAAAACAGCGAGACATAGAGATTCAGAAGCGATTAGACGAAGATGAACGACGAAGTGAGAGTCACCAGCGCTTGAAGCAACCAAGCACGAGACAACCGCGCGAAAACGGCCACAAACCAATCCTTGGTTCCAACCAGCCTGAAGAACATTCAACTTTTGCTGATTTTAGCGGTAAGAAATGATGTGTTGGAAACTTCGAGTTCGTGATTTGGAATATACCTGTTTACCTCGATTTATACATTTCAGAACACGTGTCATTCTCTTTTCTTCTCGTGTGAAACCGTTAAACAAAGAAATAATACTGTAGGGAATGACACGTGGTCTGAAATAGACAGCCATTTAACAAAGAATTTTATTCTCAAGAGATAGACACCAGATACCTGGTCTGATAGTGCCCATGTTAAAGAAGTGTATTGAAACTGACGTCATACTTTGATTGACAGGTCCTCAATGTTACGTCAAACCCAGTGGGAAATCCAACCGTAAGCTGATTATAAATGCTATATCTCATGTCTGTCTGTCTGGAACAGTAAATAATGAAAGCAAAGAACGATGTCTACAGGTAATTACTATATAGTTTAGATTGGTAAGCTCTTATGTGTGGTATGTTCTGCTACAGCTCTATATTTTACCGCTTTTATTGTTCGGCAGGGGTCGCGGGTCGAGTCTCGAGACTGGATTTAATGTGTTGTTCTATCCCTTGCCACGGAGGGTTTTCCCGGGATAATACCCCCTCCGTCAAAATTAACATGTGAGTTGAGAGTTGTGTCGTAAATAATAAATATAGTGTTAGTGCGTGTGGAACAAACCTCACAGAAGAACAGAAGACCCCCTTACAAGAAACGATGGTTGTAAAATTTGTTTTAATATAAATTTTTTTCATGACCCTCTCGATGTCTGTCTTTTTTCGTTGTTAGTTTTGTTGATGGTTTTATGTTAAATCGACAGGCGATAGCCGAGTCTCAAGGTTTTAATTTCATGGTTCTGTTCAAGGACGGGTTAAAATTCCGCGGATTGTACATGCATAACCCAGAAAACGAACAGGTAGAGATCCTTTTCTCTTCTCTTTTCTCCTCCTTTCTTTTCCCTCCTCTTCTCTTCCCTTCCATTCCTTTTCTCTACACTTCTTGTATCTTCTCTTTTCGGCTCGTCTCTTCCCATTACTCCTAAATTTTTTTCTTATATCATCATTTCTTTTTTGTTTTCTGTTTCAGTCATATAAGATATATGGAATAGGACCCAAAGTCATCACTTCCAAGATGGTTGAATGTGTGTACAAGTGAGTGCATAAAGATACGCAATTCTTACACTTGCTAAAGTCAACGCAATTATTCAATTATTTGAGTCTTCTCTCTCGCTCTCTCTCTCTTTCCTGTATCTATAGGTACAGTAGTGGAAGCAAAGAATTCATCAAGATTCCCTCCAAAACCCTGTCAATATCTGTAGATGGAGTGGCTATAAACAAGGTCTACTGGCAGTCCAACAAACCTAATGTTGCTTCAAAGACACAATCAAATCTAAAGCGACCTCCCAGACCCCCTCAGCGGTAACACTCCATGTGTAAACAGCGATATAGATGATTTGGTAACCACCCCGCATGTATAGCGGCTTGGTTACGGAGTAAAATCTAAAGTGACCTCCCAGACCCCCTCAGCGGTAACACCCCATGTGTATACAGCAATATAGATGACTTGGTAACCACCCTGCATGTTTAACGGCTTGGTTACACAGTAAAATCTTAAGAGACTTTCCAGACCTCCTCAGTGGCCGGTAACACCCTGTGTATATACAGCGATATAATAGACATACTTGCACAGTTAAAGTACACTAACTTAGTTTGTTCCTTGGTCTGATAATAGTGATTGTAAAGAACCAGATGCTCTGTGCGTTCTGATTGGTTTAACGCGAATAAGGTCTAGACTTGTAAATAAAGGTCGTGGTATCTACTAGAAAATGCTTGTTCAATCAGAACACTGGAACACATGGCACGTTTAAACAGTCCAGTGGTAGTTCGGTCCTAAACAGGTAACGTTCCAATTTAAGAGATGTCAAACATTGCTGAATTCTAACAAACTAATAATCGAGTGATCATTAGAAAAGTCGGTACTATAATGTGAAATTATTTATTTGTACATGCTATATGACCTATTTATTTAGTTGTGTAAAGATAGAGTGTAAAGATGTGATAACGTATAGGCCCCTTGCAGCACTTGGAAATGCAACGGAATTTGGAGGGCAAAACAATCGGTTTCCAATTCTCAGGGGAGTAAAATTATTTTGTTTTGTCCTCCAAATTGAACTCCATGCTACGGGTATATTTAATATACATCAACAAACTACTATAACATAATAAAGTGTAAATAGAATCAATTCCACCACACCTTATTTATATGGGCTTTAGCGAAATCCGTGATATAGAGATCTTTTGCATCAACGTCATTCCAGTTGATTTGGAATCTGTGCTCGCAATGCATTGTTTGTCGCAGCAAAAAATTCAAAGTATGTTTTTTTAATGAAATATCTTACACCACCAACAACTATTAACACTCTTTCTAAAAGATATATGGCGAATCTTTCCGGGTGTAAGTATTATTTTCTTCATTTTCGAGTAAAAGTTGTTTATTGAGCTGAAAACCTGGAACTAGGAAATATTGAGCTACGAACAATTGTTCGGTGATTGGCTATTTCGTTCTGACCGAGAGAAGCGAAATCACCTTTCATTGGTCGTACTTGGGTGTTTGTTTATTCTCTTCTCTTCTCTTCTCTTCTCTTCTCTTCTCACTCATCCATTATACTTTGCGGCTTTGGTGGGTGACCATTCAAAAAACGCCTCAAAATGTTATTTAGTCAACGTTCCACATTTCTGCTTTTATCTGTAAAATATTGATTATCAGTATTTTCTGAGTTAATTTTAAAATTTCGGAAATCAAAAGGTTTGGTGTTAAAATATATATATAAAAATAAATTCGTGAAGAATTGTTTAAAATTTGCTTTTTATTTTTGTCAAGATTCTATCTTTATTTCTAGTTGTTTCATTTTATATTTAAATATCAAGAAGTATTTTCAGTATCGGCTCATCAGTCTTTTTAGTATTATTCTTAAATTTGCGATGACGTATAGGTGAGGGCCGTGGATATCTTTTTCTGCTTACCCCGCAAAGTACCATGGCAATGTCTATTTGTTGATTGGAATCAAGTTGGTGTGACTACTTTGGGTACCAGAAATCTCTATTGGACCTTTGGTATGAACTCCTCATCCTGTGTATAAAGTTGTTACAAATAATGTAACTGGATTATCTGGGGTCTGTTTTATGGATTGGTACCAACGTGATGAGAATTGTGGTTCTGGTAATAGCTCTATATGGGACCAGCTACCATTTTAACTGATATATGTAATTGATGTTGCATGATCAGGCATTACAGGGAAAAGCAAATGAAAGAAAAATGAGGTAACATTTGGGGCATTTGAAGGGAAATATACCAGTATTCAAGAGAAGGAAAACCAATATATGTGTCAAGTTTTCTTGATTTTGTAAATTGAATGTGTGATTTGTATACTTTTTAGAAAGTCATTGGCTGTAAGGGAATGTTCATTGTCATTTAGCTTAGGGTAATAAAAAGTTTTTGCATGTTCTGTGATTGAATCCAATTTATCTTGATTCAAATAGTTGCATGACTTGATAATAGAAAAGCAAATGCTATAGAATGATAACACATCAGCATCATTGGAATGAAATGCTGTAATATGTCACGAAGGGGAAGTGGGGGAGTGATACTTTCCTAACGGACACAAAGATTCTTGCCGCTTTCTTCTTTCTTTTCTTTTTGTTTATTTTTATTGAATTATTGTATATAGAAATAAGTTACTCTGTACACAAGTCATGGTATATGCTAAAACAATTATTCGCCTCGGGCTCAGTCAATATGGAGAATATTTACTTGGCCTTCGGAGAATAACTGCTAAACATTCTTTGCTCGACTTCGCTGAAATCCAAAATGGCGAATGCATTGGACCATTTGAGTGATGATGCCATTACATAGGAACCAATGAAAAACCCGACAACAAAATAGAATCTTACCAAAACTAAATCACAGGTAGTGTTTTTGTACAGATTTTAACTCTGGAACTGAACTTGAGTACTTAATTGCATCAGGGAGATTGTTCCAGAGTGCTGGTGCAGCCAAAGCGAAGGTTCTTTTTGCAAACGTTGATGTCTTTGGTTTTGGAGTCACAAGCAGAAATTTAGAGGAGGAACGTAGGATACGTTTGGGCTGATACGACTTGAGGAGATCAGAGAGGTAATAGAGAGTTTTAGATTGACTTTTTTTTCTCCCCGCAAACGGCAAACGTGACCACGTTTTCATAGTTTTCCTTTACTTTACTTTACCTTTTACAAACCTTCTCACCAAGCGCAAATACTCTTTTGTTTTTCTACTACTTGGACTTTTTTGCGATTCTTTTTCAGTAATTTAAAAGAAGTTTTTACTGGTCAACTGACGTTTCACGTTTGCCGTGAATGTAAATCTAAAACTCTCTAATGAGGTGCAAAGGTCGTTAAGTCACTTGTATGTCAACAGCAGGATCTTGAAGGTAATTAGCTCGGAGACCGGGAGCCAATGTACCGTTCCTAAGGACAGGTGTAATGCTATATATATATATAAAGTGGTTTTCATTCACTTGTCTTCTTTGGTTCAAGATTTACACATGACTTAATTAGAATATATGACATTTTTAAATAGAACGTATAGGCGGCTGAGTGTTTAACGGGAACATTTTGCACGTTTGTTTTGACGGCAGTTTGAACACGACGTGGTGTTGTTATTAGGTTGAATGTCAACTCATTGTTAGGGGGCAAAGATAATGTTTAGCCTCTAATAGCGCAGCGCGCTGATTCTAAAAATAGCTTAAAGATTCGGACAAACATTGCATTCTGTTTAACCGCTACNTCTAGTTGTTTCATTTTATATTTAAATATCAAGAAGTATTTTCAGTATCGGCTCATCAGTCTTTTTAGTATTATTCTTAAATTTGCGATGACGTAGGTGAACGCCATGGATATCTTATCTGGTTACCCCACAAAGCAGCAAAGTACTATGTGTATGCGAAAGTAGAGAATGGTTTAATGTGATTTATAGCTCTCAAGTATTGAGATTGTTAAGCTGTTAAGTGGAGTCTTACCTATTTACTTACTAAACGTGCTGCTTGCTATGGAACCTATGGGAATAATCTAGATTTCAAACAGTTTTTTTAACATTTTGCCCTCCATAAGTATTATTAATGTGTGATAGAAAAATAATGAAAACGACAAATAATATCAATTGGAGTAAAGCTGAGAATTCTTTTTTCTCTATGTTTATGAAGGGCCACAGATTTGTCATTGAAAACCGTTATTGCTTCGTGTGTATTTCTTTGCATAAAACTAGAACATTTTGTTATAGTTACAAGTTCTGTTTACCGTTATCCATTGTGTTTATATCTAAAACATCGTGTAGTTACTCAATGCATAATAAATTAAGTCTATTAACTATGCTCAATGGGGATCTCACGTGGTTGTGTTAAAAATAGAAAATACTATGATTTGGTAGCAATTTCTGTTTACCGTTATCAATTGTGTTTATTGACCCTGAAAACATACATTGTGGTAGCTCAATGGGGATCTCGTGGGTGTGTTAAAACTAAAACATCTTATGATGGTTGACAAGTTCTGTTTACCGTTATGGCGAAAGAGAGGTTTCTAGTGTGACCACTAGTTTCTGAGAGGTACCAGTCGATATGACTGCTCTATTAATACACTTCATTTGTCTCACGTCTACTTTACAAGCTTCAGGCTTAATCCGCCTTATATACCCTAAACCCGTGCGTTAATACCAAGTCAATATTGAAATAAAAGAATAAAATAATATATAAGATTTGATTTAATTTATATGTATATATATATAAGATAGAGTGGTTTTCATTAACGTTTGCTTGTCTTCTTTGGTTCAAGATTTACACACCACTTAAATTATATGACATTTTTAAACTGATAACGTATAGCGTTTGAGTGTTTAACTGGAACATTTTGCACGTTTGTTTTGAAGGCAGTTTGAACACGACGTGGTGTCGTTATTAGGTTGAATGTCAACTCATTGCTAGGGGGCGAAGATAATGTTTAGCCTCTAATTAAACGCGTTCGAAGGTTCACACGGGAACCTTCAGAGACGGAGTTCAGTTGAGAGACATATATTTAGTATTTTTTAAATCTTATTGAAAGTGACATATCTTGTCTTCCATCACTACAAAAATTTAAAGATCATATAACAACACAGTGATTTGTCTGGTGGGCGTTCAGTGTTTATTCATAGGTTTTAAAGGGTTTGTTTAACACCTACGGGTTCTCGGCGACCTTGCTTCTTGAATCTGAAAAATAGAGATCTTTAAATTTCTAATCAAAACAATTAATTCGTACTTCAAAATATATCTTTTTGTATTACAAATGATTCTGAAAAGTAGAGAGATTGTGGAGAAATGGGTCGATAAAATTCATATGACAAGTATTTGGCACCGTCGATTTGTTACTTAGGCCAGAACATTTCTTCATAGAAAAATCTCTTCAAAGTGTTTTGATTTTATTCCAAAGTTATTTTCAGTTTAGCAAAACAATATTAAGCAATATCTAAAAACAACGTGATGTCAAATGGCTGCTTTCGATAGTTAATAATTAATTAAGAAATTTTGAAAAAACCATAGGTGTTCTAAAATGCCTTATTTTGTCTTCGTTGTTTGTTAGTGGATAAGACAGAATCTTCAGCCATCATCGGTGCCTCTTCAAGAACCGCTGACTAGTTTTTTGGACATTTATCTGAAGTCTTCACCGAAGAAAAGAAAAGAAAAGGTAAAACTGTTTGGAAAACTTTTATAAGACTACGGGCTCTATTGGGTTTTCAATGCTTCGTTTGATTACTAGATCTCCGGAATGATTATCTCAAAACTGAACAAGCTCGGGACACCACATTTTTCTTTGCATTTTTTTAATCAGCATTAAATTTCAGGTTTTTATTTTCTATTTTTCATTCACCAAAGTAGTCAGCCACTTTAACAAATAAACATATTAAACGTCCAGAATTCGTAGATGGGAAGATATACTAATTAGCATATCTGTTAAGGAAAGGTGTCTCTTCCACACACAAAATAATTAGACAAACATTTCAAATGTCAACGTTAAAGGAAAAGTAAGAAATAAAGTAAAAAATAAATTAAAATACAGCCTGATGAAGATTTCAGTATTTTATCCACCAGTGTCGGTGCAGCTAGTGAATCAAGTGAAAATAACTGTTGTCGGTGTTGTGTTATTTTAATAAAAGCTTCATGTTGGCATCGAGTTCCTGTCAATTCAATTCGATTTTTCAAATCAATCTTTTTTACAAGAAG